CTCACAACGAAACTACAGCCATCTATCTTTGTCTTGCCAAAGCTCGTCTCCCTCGGTTTCCTCTGCCTGCGTGACAGCTTTCCTAATCTGTTGTTCTCTTCATCTCGGTCGTTCTCTTTGGCGCTTTACTCTTATTTTCATGTCCAAACCCCCTCTTGAATTCCTAACCAAGACCCACCCTCTGGGGGGTGGGGGGAATGTTCGAGTAGGGGAATATACTGAGGGAGATTAAACAGAAATCTAGTACCTGAAACCTTGAAGGTACATTATTGACGATTAAGGCATTTGGGTCTTCCGAAACGTCTATAAAAATTCTACATATTACCCAACGTCATATCCCAGAAGATGACATTATCAAATTTTCGAGTTAATTACGCATGCATATTGATGCATCTGCAGGATGAGAATTCATAGATTTTTTTGTGAGACGTCGAGGGTCCCACATTTTCTAGAAAATCGACTCACATATTGTCACCCTTACGCGCCGGCCGCCCTTTGCCCCGCACCCGCCAGCAAGATTCCTGATACTCATTTCTGTAAGAGGTAGAGTCGAACCAATGGCCATAGTGCTGCTGGAAGGATTAGGTCAATTGAAATACCCAATGACCTCATCGGTAATAGAACCCGCGACCTTTCGGATTGTAGCGTAGTGCCTCAACTAACCACGTTATCGCGTGTTGTATATTATATTATATTACATTTATCAGAGAAAACTACGTCACATTGAACATTAACAACCTTCGCACACAACATAACATCTCAACACCAGAACAAGAGGACAAAATGCACACTACAGTTCAAGGAACAACGGAGTAGTAGGAACATTAAATTATCGGCTAAAAGTAAAAAGAAACTTTAATTTTAAACATATTCAGCAACAATTTGGATCTCATTTCAACCAAGATTTAATAACATTTTATAAAAAAAAAAGGCATTACAATGAAGTAATCGTGTACAAAACGTACCTTATAAGGTTAAAAGTGTTATAATAGAAACTACAGTATGTGACAACGTAATAAACCGCATATCAATGAGCAGGAAGAAAAGTTACACCTCCAGGACTGTCCCTGTGAATTATTGAACTTAAGATTATGTTCGGCTTTAATGTTAAGTTGTATACGAAGATTAGGTTTGGACAACTGCAAACTACGTCCTGTGGGCCTCGTCCGGCCCGTAAGACCTTTTTCTACCCTGCGGATCTGTTATAAAATTTGGAGTCAGAAAATTATTTTAATTCATATCGACTCTTTTTAAATGTTTCAAACAGTGTGGTAACGTATTTCTCTTCCGCAAAAAATGTATGATATTTGTTCTGATATTTTTGCAACAGTAAACGTTTATTCCACTGATATGCTTTAAAGAAATATTTCGTCCATCCCTTTTTGACACATCAGAACATCTGTAACCCCTAACTTGGTCCTTAAGTATAAATTTTGCCCACCGCTGCGTTAGGGTGTCATGTTGGGTCTTAATTTTTTGTCGAATTTCTTAGCTTCCGCACAGCACGGACTCGTTCTTCGATGCCGGTTGACATTACCATAGTAATATATCACATCTTCACTATCAAAGCCACCTTCGACGCCAGCGTCGATTTAGGCAACGGCGTCAAATTTTAGTTCCCTACGGTGTGTGACTCTGAAATCACTTCTGACACATCTAACAAAGAATTCTGTTTTTCAGAACGCCTGCTCCGGTAACGACACCGTTACCTTGATGTTCAGACGCATAAGTTCGCATTGCGTCGTTGCAAATCACCGTAGGACGCCTAAATGTGCGTAGTGTATTTTTTGTTAAGGCTTATTTTCATAGATTGGTTAAGGGTCTCATGATTTCGACTAACAACAGTAGGATGTCGGCCATTTCTTACCAACATTCTGAACTTTTCAATGCTTTCATCTATTTTGGAGGGCACGAGGTAGCGTTTTCGGTTGAAGCACTGTGCTACAAGCATAGTGCTTGTCGCGGATTCGAATCCCAATGAAGTCATTGGATTTTTTCAATTAACCTAATCCTTCCAGCCACAATATGGCCCTGGGTTCGACTCAGCCTCTAATAGAAATCACTACCATGAATCTGCCTGGAGGTATAGGGCGGCCGGAGCGTAAGGCTGACAACCTCACCGCCATCTGTGAGCCGAGTGTCTAGAAAATGTGGGAGCCTCGATGTCTCACAACCCTATGGGCCTCCACGGCCTGTTACAAGAATACCTTTACCTTTTTTTCATTCTATTTTTATGTTGTCAAACTCAATTTCGTTGCATCCTTCAGAAACTACATTGCACCAATCAGTAACATATGCTCTTGACACAACTACTTCTCCATATACTTTAACATGTTGATTATTTGTTCAAAATATTATCACCCCTTCCCGTGATAAGCTATCAATATGCTCTTAACATAACCTCTTCTCCATACAAATTCTCACCTTCGTTACCTACTTCTGTAGTGGCCTGGTAAATTGCTACTGGCCCTCAGCAGTACAGTCATCCTTGGTTCAAAGCCCCGCGGGACTCATGATCACATTTTTGTTTCTCACGACTGTAGGAGACATGCAACACGATCTCAAGCTTTGGGTTTCACAGAGCGCGGTCTTATCATTTCTGTAGCCATATCCTAGGAACGGCTTTTGATTCCAGTGAACTCTCATTGTCCTAGCAATTGATTCTTCCCTAGCACAACTGAAATTACCGTTTATATAAATTTAGATGGACACTATATTTCAGGAGAGGGCCTCCCACCTCAGAATTCCTTGCACCCATCATGGTTTGATATCAGATGCAAGAACTCAAAATATAACGAGATTAGATTTGCCTCCAATTTCATAACGTTAGTATTGTGGGATGTCGTTTTATGAAGAGTAGCCACTTATTAAATTGTTACATATATATATATATTGTAGTTGTTCTGAGTATACAGACGAACTTGTTTGAAGAATAGAAGGTCGCCGGTTGCTGATAAGCCGTGTGAAGGTATTTTTTTTATTCCTAGTGGGGTGGGACTAAGTCCCTTGTACTGCGGCCACTTCTGGCCTATTGTACCAGCCCCAGATGATAGGTGAGGGTGATTGTGAAGCAATTGGTGGAATGAAGATTGGCAGCGGAGACCGAATTACTCGGAGAAAACCTGCCCCAGCGCCACTTTGTCCGCCACAAATCCCACTTGACCAGACCCCGGGATCGAACCCGGGCCGCCGCAGTGGGAAGCCAGCGACTAACCGCTTAAGCTATGGCGCGGCCTTTTCTTCCTGTATTAGTCCACCTTAAGTAGCCTCGCTCCGACCTGTAGTGAACACCTATTTCTCCTGTCTGATTACTGCGCTCTGCTAAACTGCTTGCCTGGAGACGCGATTTTCAGTCGTTATATAACAGTAATAATTATGATGTAGGTTTTACCAAGCGATGGATTCTTTATTCAAGAAAAGTGTCTCCGAGGGAAGGTGTTTACCGGGCTGTGCTTAGCAGCGGATGGTTTCTATACTGTGATTTGCTAGCGCTTGACTCAATGTGGGCGGTTCCCACAGTATCACATTTCACCAAAATCTGTCCAACGGCTCTCGAAACACGCTGTCCACCAGGCATGATGCCCAAGTGCAATCTATTCCTTTGAGGACTAAATTTAATTTAAATAGTATATATCAATTCAGTTCGTATCTCACGTCACATAAATCAACCGGTAAATACAGGACGTCCCAAAATATGTACTCACCCTTACTTTTTAGCGAAACAATTTCTTTTCAGTCTAAGACCCATATGAAAGACACAATATAAGCTCAGTTGACATAATGCAGATGTTTAGTGTGTCGAAGCAGGTAGTAAAAATGTGAAGTTGTTACTGTGCTTAATTAAGCATTATATCTTAAATATGTATGGAAAGTGGATGTATAGATCCACATTTTTTGATCTCGGCACTAAATGGAGGTGAGTGGTTAGCTTCACTCCCCGGCCGCTTTACTCCCGGACAGAGGGCCTCCGAGACTGTGTGCCCCGCAACAGGTCTGGACGCTATGAAGTAGATAAAAATCTTGTTCCTGCCATGAATCGAACAGCGATCCTCCAGCCCGCAGCCCGTTGCCATACCAACTGAGCTATCCCAACTCCTTAAATCAGATGGCACATATAGTAAACAATGGGCTTTAAAGGTTTAAGCGCATCGTGCAGAAAAATATATAACTGTATGTGGAATGAATATATTTCATTGATAATTCTTCAGTAACTTGTATTATTCTGAAGACATTATTTTAAAGATAAAACCAAGGAGGATGAGATGGACAGGCCATGCTCCATAGATAGGAAAGATAAAGAAAAATTCAGAAAAAAAAACAAACATTTTTTTCCTCCTATCTTGAATGGAAGAAACCTCTTCGAAGACCTGGAGTTAGATGGAAAGATATTATTAAAGAACATTTTATGGATGTTGACAGCATCCTGCTCAGTATATGGTCCGGAAACTCTGTACAGAATTATGAGCTGCAATAAGAAGTAATACGTTAAATGCCGTTATTTGAAAACGTGTTTACTCGGGTGTCATAACTAGAAAACTGGTCACAGTTTAACCGAAACGAAACCTACTTCAAATACCATTCCTCAAATATCAGTTTTAATGGTATCCTTAAAATTGGAAGCCTTTATCAAATTGTTAACTTTACATAGAAGATATGCCACGCTGCTGGAATTTCTTGTGTCACTCACGAATTCTTTTGTCCGTAGGTGGTTCTGTGTGGTGCTTTGTCTGAAACCTCCGTTACACCGTCACAATTGACTCAGTTTTGCCAAATTCCAAAGGCACAGAACGCTTTCTTTTCCTCTGTCTTCATGTCTCTTCAAGACTGCCCCCTAGCGGTAAAACCTGGAAGTAATCCATGGCGCCTGTTACCCAAACTTGGAGAGACTCTCTGCCTATCGACATGTTTCTTTCTTGGGTCTTGCCCTTCTGAGCTCGTAAGTACCGGAGGGAGTTATGAATTACCCTGTACAAGAATTTCTGTTGTGTTATCTGTTTCAGGAGTTCACTTCCCCACTAACGACGAACACTTGCTCGCCGAATTATCGAAAGCGGTTCGCGTGTTCTTACAAGGTCTGGAGCAATTTTCTCAAGACGAAGGAAGTGAAATTGTCCTCAGCCCTCACCTGTCGTGTGAAGGCCGGGGTGAGGCGCGCTGGAGAAACGGAGACAAATTCTTCAGGTCAGTACAGTTACCCAAATTATGGACTCTAAATATTTCATGATGTGAAGAAAGTAACGTCTGCATGAACAGAGATACATTTTGTGATAATAAACAATTTAATTATTGTATCAGTACCGTCAACACAATCATTTATCGGTATAACCAGTCAGGCATAGGAGTGGCGATATCCGTGAGGACGGCGGTTAAAGTTGTCTTTTTTTTATTACTTGATGTGGTGGGTCTGAGTCCACTTCGTACTGCGGCCACTTCTGGCCTATTGTACCAGCCCCAGATGATAGGTGAGGGTGATTGTGGAGCAATTGGTGGAATGAAGATTGGCAGGGGAAACCGAAATACTCGGAGAAAACCCGCCCCAGTGCCACTTCCACCACCACAAATCCCACTTGACCAGACCCGGGATCGAACCCGGGTCGCTGCGGTGGGAAGCCATCGACTAACCGCTTGAGCTATGGCGCGGCCTTTGCTGACGTCGTTACTTGTTCTGCGGAGCTATAAAAGGGCAACAGAGTAAGGGCTGCGTGTATAGCCTGTCCAATCTCATCAATACAAGTATAAGTTGCCAGTCAACGGGTAAAAACACAGGCACTCATTGTTCAGGCAGAGTACCCAATCCTTTACAACAAATCAATATTGTCACGTATATGGGTGACTAAGACACGGGTTTAGATTGACAATTGGATTTATTGGACCTTCACTAGTTGTAACTACAAATTATTATAACACTTTCATTATTACTGTAATTGTAACACAAAGTCTTCAGTTCACACGTTGTCTTCACAATTCTTCTACGAACTTCCCGTAGCTATCTTCTAACGAGAACTGATTGAATTCAACTAAACTGCTGGTGTTTTTCTATAAACCTCGTTATATAGCCTCCGCACGGACCACGCACAGAAAACATAGTTCTACTCTTGCATAAGGTAGACCACACAGAGAACAAGTCACGTGATTCATAGCCAGCGTCTTCATTGGTGCATTGTTCACTAGCAACGTGCAATAACATTCGTCCACTGAGACACATTTTCCATTATTGCACGTTGACCGTGTTTACTGAGCCTTTACTTAGAAACGCTTTGAGCAAATCCGTTACAATATATTTGGCTGGTTAATCATCATCATTGACAAACCAGAACTTTTTGAGCTATAGAATTCCTTAGACGTTTCCGCTAGATTGCGCCTGGTTCTCATTTATTTGCATTTTGTGACAATTTTTTTACAGAACAAGGACATTAGCATTTCCGAGTCAAACCCCCAAACCTAGAGGACCAGGTCTCTGTATTTATATCATCCAGGAACAGGGTGGCAAGGCCGGCTTCCCACTGCGACGGCCCAAGTTCGAGCCCAGGTCAGGTCATTTGGTATTTGTTTTGAACAAAGGGGCACTGGGGAAGGTTTTCTCCGAGTACTTCGGTTTCCCTTGCCAGTTCTCATTCCACCAACTGCTCCACACTCATCATCTATGATCCGGGTCTGGTACAGTAGGCCAGTAGTGGACGTACCAAGTGGACTCGGTCTCACTTCACCCCAAGAAACTAATAAGAAATTATACCCTATGCACTGGGCTTCCATTTTCGTCTTTTACGTCTCGCAGGGCTACGGTGGAGGTATTCTAACCCGCCTCCACATGGGAAGCCCGAGGTTATCATACAAATATGTAATGCTAATGTTGTGCTAATGCTGTATGAGGACCAGGAGATATGGGTTCGAATCTCGGCCGGGATACGGGCTACCCTGACTCAGGTGTTTCGCATTTCATTTAAGCTCTTCGTGGCAAATGCCGGAGCAGTATATCGATCAAGCCGAAGTCATTTCGTTCCAGATCCTTTCCAGTTCGTCAATCAACTTACATTCGACGCTATAGCTCCATCTAGTAGGAAACGTGCGAAAGCTCATACTGGATTAGAACAAGACAGAAATCATCATTTGACTACATCAAATTAATTTCCTTGTATCGATTGTTGTTAAAACCTCGACATGTTTCGATTACACATCGTCATCTTTAGGGAATGAACCGTATTAAATGGAAACTTAACAATTTATATATACAAACAAGAAACTCTGGGAAAAATTAACATCACACTTTCCTTTGATGCTACATGGATGTCATAGAAAACTACGCGTCCAGCAATACTTCTATTGTTACCTGTATTCGTTTCCGCGGGAACGTGTTTACCTAACAATGACAGGGGGGATAGAAATACACACACACAGACCGATGCGTGTGTGTAAAGCCAAGCTAAGGGATCGCCGTAATAGTCCATCGACCCTTCCTACACGACTGTGCAGCGGGTCTGTCTTCATTCAGGTGTCAGTGTAAGTTCAGAATTTCATATCGCTCCTAATATCTCATTTGGTATAGTGACTCGAATACAGGTTCAACGACCATAGAATGTGAGTTCGATGCCCGGAAGGAGTGCACTTTTTGTCTTCTGTATGGGGTCCAAACTGGTTTCGGAGTCCACCCTGTCTCTTGCATAATGGATACGTGGGGTAAAGCGTCAGGGTCATGAAGCTGACAGCTGACCTCCGTCCAGTGCAGAGGCTAAGAACGACTGATGTACACCTCCTCCCCCCCACAGACGACATCATGGAGTGGTGATTAATGAAATATGCACCAGGATAAATTTACCTTTTTTATATTACTACGCTACGAGAGTTATTCTGTTCTCTTTACTTACTATACTTATTTTGAAAAATAAAAAATAGGCTTATGTGATCGTCTTGCTGTCTGTGTGTCTATATGTGTATCCATCTTAGCAACTTTTGAAAGCCTCAATCAATCTTTATGAACCTTATGAAATCTTGGCACCTGATCCCATCTCAATAGCATACATCATAAATCTCTCTTGTCAGTAATACCAACATTACAGCCTGTAAAATTTCTGAGGCTAAACGTTGATCGTGCTTGAATGCCTGTACCGAACTTGAGGACATTTGGTGTGTATATCATGCCACCTGAGGTCATCTCAGTGGTATACATCATAAATCCTTCTCATCAGTAAGACCAATACTTAATTTGTAGTGAAAGGAAAGTAGACTATCAGGTCTTCCCAGAACTTATCGTTTCTTCTCGTTATGATGTTCCTCGGTTGCAGCTGGCGTGTGGATAAAACGAACACTTCACTGATGGGACAGGATATGAATCTTCTGCAACCTAACTCTCCAAATATGTGGAAAAGTGTCTATCCCAAAAGGCAAATTCTTCCTCTTCCCCCAAATTTCTAGAATGAAATTTCCTACATATTTCTCATAATTTGTAAAGAAGAGAGTCTAATTAACAGGAGGCAAGAACAAGCTACATAATTAGCAACTTCATAATTTGTTCTCTTCGAAAATTATTATTTGGAAGATTAAACAAAACGCAAGATACGAAGTCTGACAATAAAGTTCGTGAACTCGCCACCGTCCGCTTCCCGTTGCAGCAGTGGAAAGGAACCTCAGTATGATTTGGTGACGTTGACAAACCAAGTGTTACGTGAAAAAGTCTGACGGAGACGACCCGTGGCTGGTAGACAAATAACTGTGCAGGAACACCCTCCCTATTCACTGGATCAACCCCCTCCCCCCAAGTGCTTCCTTCTGTTCCCGAAGATAAAAGAAATATTGAAAGGTAAACATTTTGATGACATCGATGACATCAGGAATAATACGATGGCAGCTCTGGAGGTCATTCCACAGAACCAGTTCCAAAATTGTTTTCTAAGAATGAGGTATGTAGCACTTGATGAGTTCGCGAACTTTATTGTCAGACCACGTACAAATGAGAAATTCTTACAGAGTATTGTTTGGAAACCTGAAGGGAGGAGATAACTTGGAAGACCCAGGCATAGATGGAAGAATATTGAAATACATCTTAAATAACCAGAATGTAAGGACGAGGAGTGAGTTAATCTGGCCACGTTAGGGACCAGTTTTGTGTTCTCGTGAACATAGTAATGAAATTTATGGCTCCATATTAGTAAGATTTCTTCACAAGTTCAAAAACTATTCGCTTCCGAAGAATGAATCTATTGCGTGGAGTTGATTCAGTTAATGTATTTACCACCTCTTTCGATTCGATCTGTGCTACGCGCACCGCCAATCTAGCCACTCCCCATTTCGAACGCTGATAACACCTTGTTAAGTGCAAACAGTATTAAGCTCCTTTGCTACAAATCCCCAAAATTTACATAAAGCCATTATAAACATACTATGATGTGTATTCGTGACTATAGATGGAGTTCGGGTTGGTAATTGGACTTACTGATCACTCACAAATCGTAACCACAATTAAGTATACACTCTTGCCGATTCTCACACTACAAATTACTCCACACTGAATCTTCTCGGTATGCTTTCACTAGTATTCACTATCCGTTTCCTGGCAACGGTTTTATCACAGTACCACTGTGACTTCAACTCACACACTAAGTCTTCTTGGCACAGTCTAATTCCTTTCTTGCTATCACCTTCGACTGCCGACTCCCTGAACTCCGATCTGAGGCATTCTCTCTTCTGACTCACTTCTTGACAACTCACCTATTGGACACATTTCGTCTTCCTCTGACTGGACACTCCACTGGAACTATTCTGACTTCCAAAGGAACTGTCGGTCAAGTCAAAGTCAAAGTTATGTTACGACCGACAGTCAGTCGGCCAGTCCATGTGGGGCTTAAGACCAGATATTTATTATTGTCAGAGAGTTGCAGATTTGTTGATATGGGGCGCTCTCTCTGACGAGAGGACGGGTCTGTCGTTGAATTGTCAGTTCAAGTCAAACTCAAGGTCAAAGTCAAAATTCGACCGAACGTCAGTCAGTCAGTCTTGGTGTCGAATCCCATCTGGGGCTCGTGACCAGATATTTATCACTGTTTTACAGTTAAGGTCTTGTTTTTGTGAGGCGCCCTCTCTGGCGAAAGGACAGGTCTGCCTTTTGTCAGGGCTTCTCGTTATATTGCCTCGGGTCCGACCTCAAAGAAAACACGTTAACTGCATAGCAATAATCGTTGGAACGTGTT